AGGTTTATTCAATATGAACCATGCTATGAGTTTATGCTCTAATCTTTAAGAAGTGTTAGCTCGAGTTTGCGGGGATGCTTTCTAGCAAACAAATCTACAACATCGTTTAATACGATGGGCACATCGTAATGGATGTGCATCAGTGCCAGGGACGACAATCTCTCTTGCCCCATGCAGGCTCTCTGATATGTATGGAGTCGTCGCAAGGCACTGGCACTTCGCTCACATTCGCAACTTGTGGCTGGAATGCAGCAACAGATCGTGAGCAATTTGTGGATATTAGGGAACATCTCCTTATCCACGTCCTTGATGGCAGAGGCTGGGGTGCTAGGCCTATCTTGTGCCGGTTTAGTGTCATATCTAGAATGAAATAGTAGACTGGTTAAGCAGATTATTTTTTAAAATTTGATGTTAAAATGATATCAGGAAATTTAATGCGCGTTAGAATAGTTATGCACCTAATTTTAAATCTGATAGCTTCTTGGTGACATAGCTCTGGTGATGGCAGGTCATGCTTATAGTATTCTGCCAGTTTATCTATCTTTACAAAGTACTGAAGGGACGAGACAGTGAAGACTTGATGCTAGTGTGGACAAATCTGTAAAAATAAAAAATAAAAAAACATATATTTCACTGTTTGCTTTTCTATCATTTTATATGCACAGTTATAAGTACCGGAAAATTGCTCATGAAGATGAGTTTGGATGTGATCGACAAAAGACACAGCCACGTTCCGCCGATAATACTCCTCTGGTGTAGCACCCGGGACGTCCTAGAATATGCATTCACATATTTTGAATGGTATGGGTGAAATAATGGACGAAATTTTAAAAAGCGCAAGGTTTAAAAATTACWTTTGAGAGGGGCCCAGTGTGCTGAAAGATACTCAGTCCCTCTAATTACCCGAGATGCATTGCATAATTCTACACATGATCACTTGCATATATTTACTTAATAAGAAAGTACGTGCTCAAGTGACCGATATAAGGGCGAAAGCATCAATATTCAGTGTGGATTTTGTAATTAGAATAAAAGTATTACCTTTGCAGTGCACAGTATTGTTAATCTCAGGTGTTTCTTCAGGTGCTTTTTCAATCTCGACAGGCTCTTCTCTTGGTGCTTTAGCTTGCATCCACTTGTGAATGGATTGACATGACTTCGCAGCGGCTTTTCGTTTTCCATTTTCTTGTTCACGTCTTTCCATTTCTAGAGTTTCGGTGACTTTTCAATGGGATTAGACTAACAATTGTTGTGAATACAGTCGATTGCTACTACCGTCCACTGACTCTAACATGTTAATGTCTGTTACAGTAAACTTAAAAGCAAAACTTGCTTAAACTTCAAAGTTCCACCGTCTATTATTACCTATAATTAGTTGACAGACATTTGCTAATGAGTTTAATAGGCAGTGAAACTTTGAAGTCTGACTTTGCCGAGAAAACATGTTCTTGTCTAGACAGTGGACGCTTAGACGGTAAAATTGGGAGCGAACAAAAATCAAGGAAATATACGCGAATAGTGGTTCTCGCTGCGGGTTTTATTTCAGTYGCATACTTTTCTAATAATCAACCAGAATCTGTATAGAGAAGCGTTGTTGTATCATCAGATGAAAAAGTAAAATTGATTTTTTTTTACTTAGTTTTACGTGAAAATATCATACCAGCCAAAAT